ATTTATCATTACAAATTTTATTTCAGGAATTTGAAGATTAAATACTTCCCTTACCAGTATTGAGAACCATATAAAACAGTGTTTATAATTTTTACTTGTGCAATATTGGAGTCATGAGACTGACAGGTTTCAAAGGCTTAGGGCTGCTCCTTGGTAGATGGATCCTAGACATAATAACTGGAGAGTTCTCCCCCAAATGATTTGCATTGAGAAAGAGCCTTAGGATATTCAAAGGAAGAAAGCTTCAGCCACGATCAAGAGAATTTTTACCTCCTGTCCAACTGGCACATGGATCAAATTTATGAACAATTCTATTTAGAAAAAAACTTGAAATGACTTCTTTTGCACCTGAGTGAGACAATGCCAAATTCAAATTCAATTCAGAATTAAGTTTTCAATGCTAAAATTACCTTTTGAAAACATTTGATTTTACAAAATTACTAGTTGTCTGTAGTGTCTGCACAGCTCACAAAGCCCCCAATCCCCACCCCAACTATACCCTGCCACCACAGTAGAATCCCCACTAGTTGTTTTGTATCACCCTAGACAGCAGTTCTCAACCTTAGCTTCATATTAGAATCACCTGAGCCCCAACCTCAGCAAATTAAACTGAATTAGATGTAATAGATTTTTTTTTAAATTTCCATATGCTTTCAATGCACAGTCGAGGTATTCCAGCATGTGGTCTTGGATGAAGCAATCAGAACTCTGACTTAGGACAAGAGAGAAAAATTGAGAGATCCACTTCTGTGAGCTGTATCCTATGCTCCTGAGTGATAGAGTCAAGAGACGGGCAGGAGAAACAAGTGGGTCTGCAATGAGAGGAAGAAGCAGCTGAGTAATCAATGGGAATAGATAAGTGAAGGTAGAAGAGAGTTCTTGGTCTCTGGGGCACAGCTGCATTCCTGTTTTGGAGTTCTATGTGTACCCCTGAATCTTTATAACAATTTCTTATGCTTTTCAACCTTGCAAACATTTGTTTCCATTATATGCGACCAGGGGATTCCTAACTGACCCAACAGTTCAAATCACAATCTCCAGTTTATTAGTCTATACATGTAAGTGATGCTGTCACTACAAATGTCACGCATTATCTAAAGCACTCTTGTGACATTTAGGAGTTTATGTTCTCTCTTGGGGTCATTTTAGGCCATTAGTTCCCTACAGATATACAAATGCTGGGTGATGAGAATTGAATATTTTACATCTATGCGAACAAGGAGCTCTGGTAGCCTAGTGCCTAAGGCACTTGACTGCTAACCAGACGGCTGAAGGTTCAAACCCACCAGCTACTCCTCGGAAGGATGGCTGGGCAATCTACTTCCATAGTGATACTGCCTCAGAAACCCAAAGAAGGGTCGCTATGAGTCGGGTCTGACTCGACCGCACATAACAACAACAACAACAACAAATGCTAACAAAGTAGTCTGAATATTTTAGGAATTCATAGTTGATATTTTTTTTTGTTTTTTCTGTGATGAAATAGGCTACTCAATCCAAAGCTAACAACCATTGGTAAGAATGATGCAACTGAAGTAAATGAAGAAATAACAAGGAAAGAATAACTAATCCTGGGGGAAGATGTATCATTCTCTTTGCTCAATTCCTACACAGTTGTCTGACTCTCAAACATCTTGTTCTGCTCTCTAAAAGGCTGATGTATAAAATAGGTTGCTAGATTGGTGACATCTACTAGAAAGGTGTCTAAATCAATACTCACTTAATAACACCTCTAAGTCCACTACAGAGTATACACTTACTGAATCATTTCTTACTGAAAGATGTTCCATTCCAACTAAATTATAACCTCCACATAACAATTATATTTTCAACATTCATAATGTAGATGTTACAACATCTAGCACAGTATTTTGTGCAGAAAAGAGGCTTTATTAATGAATGCTGCTTAAATGAATAAATAAGAATCAGTTTAGCTTTTATATATAAGTTGTACATATTAAAGATAAATGTTAGCACCAAGACTGCACATAAGAAACAAATAATGTTTTTACAATGCCGTTTACCAATGTGTTTTATTCTACTAATATGTCTACTTCTCATATTTTAAAAAACACAATCCATATGACTTTTATTCATAACTTACTCTGCTTTAGTAATAAATAGCTTTTGAGCAGAGTGTAAATTTGCTAGTTCCAAAGAAAATACATAGAGGAAGAATCCTAAATTATCACCAAATTCCACTAACATTCATCGATCTTATGATGTTCTAGAATAAGTCTTACTGATATAAACACATGATGACAGAGGACAAAATGTGTTTAGGGTTTTTTTATTATTACTGAAAAATTACTTGTTAATATACTATTGCAAAAGTTGACAGAAATAATTCCTTTAGACAGAAAAAAAAAAATCCATTTCCTATCCTCTTGGGAATGTTAAGAATATTCACCAAAAGATAGCAACCCAATTATGTCTTCGAATGTTGCATTTTTGATTCATTAAAATGTATATTATTAAAGGATATTGGAATTTCCAAGTATCTAAAGGTATCTTTTCCAATGATAGAGATCAGAAGCAAGCCACTGAGTTCAACTTACAAATCTACATTCTTATAGATATGGGAATAATATATTTTGTTCCATCAACATGTCTACTTTACATTATTCAGCACAAAGCTTTGCAAAATAAGAATCATGGGAATATAAGAATATAAAGGAAAAAGGTACAAATAACAGCTTCATAAACTGAGAAATGTACATAAATAAATCATGTATATGTGGGCAGTTTGCTTAGCTGGCAAGAAACAAAATATGGAAAATCTGCTTGTTAAACAATAACTACAGAGTGTGCTTTTATGATGTTTTTCACCACAGTAATTCATATTAGAGATAGAAGCAGTTGCATGTTAAATAAAATCATTGAGCATTGTTTCCTTCGCATTGCAAAAAGCTGACTTATGTTGTTTTTAGATGCCTCCCATTAGAAAGTAAATATTCCTTCAATGCTGTGCATTTCACAAAATTTAATAAAGACGAACTGTAAATAAAGTCACAGGGAGATTTCAGACAGTTTTATTAGGAGATTGTTGAAAAGAAAAAGAAAATTAAATACAATAACAGTAAACGTGGTTCTCACATTGAAACCAGGCTCAAATAACTAGGCTACCATAGAAAAATTTCCAATTCTTGCATTATGATGTAAAAACAGATTTTTGTACAGATTTTGTACAACAAAATTCGTAATAACCTTTTATCAGTTTAGAAAACTTTAAATATATAGATAAAAATAGACAATTTTCATAGGTCCTACATGAAGATGAGTATGTTCTGTTCCAAGGGCTTGCATAGAGCGCAAATGTGGTTATAATATAGAACAACTAGACATTAATATTTTTAGGATTATAAAAGCATGGAAACCATAAAATGAGCACAATTTTACTTGTCTATGCCAAAGAAACATTTCCAAACCAACCTGTATAACTAAAAAAGGGCAAAAAACTTAAGTTACAGACTTACAATAACATTTCATGAATTGTAATATTTACATGTTAGTAAGATTTCACTCTTAACATATACCTGATAGCTTTTTCTTTAATCCTTGCTAAAATTTCCTTTTATGTCGAAGCAAACTCTAAAGCATTCTCAAAGGCTTGAAAGTATGTATTTTAAAACTATTTAACCTACTTAACAGGAGACTCTATGCAAGGAGCAGAGCAATGATTCCACTACATATGTAAATTGTAGGCTTTTAAAAAATCGTTCAAAAAATGCATGATTCAAAAGCTTGCCACAAGTCCATCCAATTTTAAGAACTGTCATCCTTTAAAGACTGCATATATGGAAACAAAAATACATATACACAGGAATAGAATCTCTTTTGCTCAAACAACCAAAAGATGGTTAGGGCAGAACTAAGAAAACCAGATTTCTAAAAAGCATTTAATAACAATATTTTAAATAAAAATATTGCTCTTTTTTTTAAGCAAGCTAAAATAGGAACGGTATATATAACCTTTTTATTTGTATTTTTTTAAATGGACTTAGTTCGTTAATAGTGAGCTACACAAAAGAAATATGTTCCAGTACTGGAAAGACCTAAAAACTACAGAAGCTTAGTGCCAGAGTATTTCTAATAATAAATTTGTTTGTTAACCCTATAATACCCAATCAGAACTATGTTTAAGCATTTTAATCTACTTTTCTGACATTTAAAGTTTTGCTGTTTTATGGTAATAAATAATATTATGATCATAAAGTTTAAAGATGACAGCAAAATCATAAAATGTTTAATAACTGTACTGACTCATAATATCAGTCTTTAAAGGTGTAACTCCAGATACGTAAAAACAAAGAGAAGGTAACATCAGTGTAGAGTAAGCACAGTTTGCAGCTTTTACTTCCAGTTATCTGCACAAAAGTGAAAATACATACTGTAACTTTCAGAAAGACAGTGAAATTAACACGTAGCCACCCTTCCCTCTGACCAGGGTGGGAAGCACAACACATTTTAACTTTATCACTCAGCGCTACATGGTATTGGACTGATACATCAAGGGTTTGTTAGGTTTTGTTTTTCAGCAACATTAACATAATATGACATTAACATATAAAAATATTTCTGGTGTTTTGATTTACTGTTCAGCCACGATCCATTCTCAACAGTGCAGATTGGGGCACTAACAAGGGTTCAATATACAAATAAAAGTGGCTGACAGCTAGTTCTGATGTCACCAGATGCTTAAGATCTCATTCATTAATACTGTGACTCCAGACAAATATTTACATGCCTGCATGCGTTAAAACCAGAAAGGCGTCTTTCTGACCAACAGGGTGACAAAACATAGTTTCTAAAATTTTCATTTTCCTAACTCTAGTATACTACTGCATACATAATACCTTCCTTGTGTTTTATGTTTATATACTGTACATGTGACCAACAGTTTGAATAAGAAGCAACATCATTATTTATACCACTACCAGTTCGGAATGAAAACATGTTACATTTATGTATGTTTTTTTCTTTTTTCATTATTTTTAAGGAAAAAGACCTTAAGTGAAACATTTTGGCTTATATTCAATGCTTCTTTTTAGATATGTAAAATGTTATTTCACTGGGTTGTTGTCAATTTCCATTTGTTGGTCTTTTGGAAAGTATGTGGAAAGAAAATCTTCAGGAGAAAACCCACAATTACAGAGTTTATAATGGAATGTAACAGAATATTACTCTTAATTTTATCGATTTTTCTTCCCTGCCCCAGGAATCCTCCATGCCCCCTACAAGCTCATTTCCAAGTGTCCTTGCTGGTTTTGGGAGGACATAATTCTGTAAGTCTGGGTGAGCAGTGCTATAAGTGTCTGTTGATGTGCTCATATACAGAATTTTCAGGAGAAGAAAATGGCTCGGTCCATTAAAAAAACAAAGTTCGGTCTTATCTGGACCTGCTTTAACTTTGTATGCAAGTGTCCAGCAGCAAAGTTGCAGTTAACAACTGTAAGAAGTTTGATACTTGTACATTTACAAACATTCTTAGTTCTCTGGCATGAACCACAGGTGAAAATCAATGGAGGAAACTTTTTTTTTTTGTAGAATACTTAAACTTTTGAAGAATATTAATACACAAAATTGAGGAAGTTCCCTTAAAAGGACTTTATTTTTTTCCCAAACTTTCCAATGATGAATGTCTAACTGCAAAATTCTTTACCATAACATGAATTTCTTCACCAGGAAATATTCAGTACATGACAGTAGTTTTCAAATACAGTCTTCCATCTAAAAATAAACAATATAAAATAATTAATGACATGGCATTTGGGGAATAAATGTTCATATAAAAACTATGCAAACTGACATAAAAGTTGCTTAAGAAGTAACATTTTTCATATAGTCTCAAAGTTAATTTTATAATTACATTGACTTTATAGGATTTTTTAAAAATGCAGCATTTCTAGCTCTCATAAATATATATGTGCTATTTTGATATCAGTTGCAGAGCACTAAGAAAATAGATAAGAAAATGTGTATGTGTGTTTTACTGATATGCAAAGCTAGTTGATTTCTTTTCAATAACAATTACTTCCTGCAAGCTTGCAGAAACAAATTTCCTCTGCATGCACTCAGGTGTATCTCCATCATGAAAGACATAGTTCCAATCTTACTCTTTAGCAGTGTTGTTAAATACACCATGTAATGTAACTATTGTGCACATTTATTGCTATTTACATGAAAGTCACCCAGGTTATTTCATCCCTACCAGTGAACTATATGCCTTTTCCCCCTCAAGCTGGATTAACTAAATAATTAAATGTTAAAATGTGAGCATATTACTAAACTTTTGCCAATTAAAAAATAAAAGGTACATTAAATAGAAAAGGAAATAAAATCTTGGACACATTTAATAAGCCCATTTGAATGAAGCAGAAATAGGGAATGAGAAATTAAAAATACAGAACAAAAAAAATCTCTCTCAACTGTAAAACGCTTTCTAAACTATTTATTCATTTTGTGGTGTGGCCTAGACTTTGGATAGATGTGTAGAAAATATGTCTAAATTTTTGTTTTCAGCTTGTACAATAAAAGGGATAATAGTCAGAAGAGGAACAAACTCCAAACATTTAAAGATTCATAGTGCCCTGAATATGTTTGAAAAACGTTTAATAACTTCAAGAATTAAAATATAGGAAAACAGAAAGAACCTACAATAGATTAAGGAAGTAGAAAAGATGTTATACACATTTGCTGATTTTTTTCCCTGAATAACAAACTAATTAAGTGCTCTTATATAATCTATAGTAGATATAGTAATTAGAATGGAGTTTAAGCACCAAAGTTTAGTCATTTTTACCTCATGGGAATATTAGTGTACCCTATTTCTATATTCCTGTCCCGTTTTATCCTAGCCTAATTTTTAAGGCTGCAATTTCCAGGATAGAATTGAATTCTGTTTTACTCATTGATATTTCCCAAGAACCTAGTATATGTTCAAATAAATAAATTCATTCATTGAAGAAATGAATGAATCAGAGATAGGCTTCCTGTGATTTACTCAGAAGAGAAAATGCATAATGTATATTTTAAATGAATAAATATTTTGCATGATGTATTTTTACGTCCAACTGTCCACCAATTTCCTTCAATGACTTGGGCATGAATGGACATGAGATTAATCTCAGACTGACTGATTTCTAGTAAAGTGTTAACTCCCTCTTTTAGAGTAAAAGTAATCCAACATGACTTTAAGGATAATGAGAATGTTTACCTTAAAATAATATTTGAAAATCACTAATATTATGAGCTCTACAACTCAACAGTCATATATCAGAATTATTCTTAACATTTGAAACATCCAACAATAATACTCAACATAGTGGCTACGGCACTTGACTGCTAACCAGAAGGCTGGTGGTTCAAATCCACCAGCTACTCCTCGGAAGAAAAATGGGGCAATCTACTTCCGAGTGGTACTGCCTTGGAAACCCAAGGAGGAGTCGCTATGAGTCAGGTCCGACTCAATGGTAAAAACAACAACAACAACAACAAAATCTTGAATTTTAAGATATTCATATATTTTAGGGGGTTAGTTTTGTCTTAATCTTACTCTACTGAAAACACAACCAAACTCACAGCCATTAAGCTGATTCTGACTCACAGTGACCCCCTTTGAGTTTCTGAGACAGTACATGTTTAAAGAAGTAGATTGCCCAGTCTTCCTTCCATGGATGGCTGGTAGGTTTGAACTGCCAACCTTTTGGTTAGCAGTCAAATACCTTAGGCACTACACCATCAGAGCTCCTTAAATCTAGGTAACAATTATTATTCTTCTAATTAGAAATAAGAAAATTGGATATATTATAGTAGATCAGTTGACTATCACTAGAAATCACCAATGACATGAAAATGTGCTCCCCATAGATAGCATACACTTTTGAATGTAATATGATCTCAGACTGGCCATTGGAAATCCAGCTGAACTCTATTATTGAATCAATAACTTAAAGGCATGGAATAATGTGTTGAATAATCATACTTACTATGTATTCTGAAAGTATTTTACTTTCATTGGCCTATATTACAATCTCATTCATACTAAATATTACCAGAGCTTAGGAATTCATTGTTGTAAAATTCAGTCAAGATAAAAGCCTCCAAAATCAAGCATTAAGCAAATATCAATAGCAAAGCCATAACATTTTGACTTTAAAAAATTTTTAAATAAGTATATAACAGCACCATATTTACATATTCTGAAATATTTGTTTTTGCATGGTATATGTCCTGATTTCTTGTTTGTTTAGCTTGACTGTACCCACCTGTAGCACAAAACTTACACTTTTCTTATTAACTTATGTTATATAAATATACAAAAATAAATATGTATTTATTTTCTATTTTTACTTTTGCAGGAATTGAATTACGCTCACTTAACAAATAAGCCTAAGAAACTTAATATTATAAAAATAATAGACTAAAATTTAAGTCTTTCTGGCTGGAAACAATCTCATTTTAAGATAATTTTTATTCTAATATATTTTATTACATGAAACAATATAAATAAAAATCTAGGAATACCAAACATAGAAGCTACCAAAGATGTGGAGTGCTGGTACTTTTACTGAATCTTTTTATGTTCAGCCCCTTAATTACTTTATCCCTCCTTCTCTCTCCTTTCAATTATCTCATTATTCCTATTGTGTTTTCAAGTGTGTTGACAGTATCCCTGTTCCAATTTAAAGGTAAACAGACATTTCCAAAGAATAGATGGTGGAAGAGAGACATTTTTAACTCCCCCAAAATTCAAATTCCATTAAGTGTGATCTTTTACAGTTCTGTGATAAAGTACTAATTTTAAAAAAGAAAGAAAGAAAAAAAAAAAAGAATTCAATACCCCCTATGGAACTTCTAAATCACTATATATTGAAGCAAAAACAAAATTTGAAAAATAGTTTTTTAATCTTCTGTGATATTGACAACATATAAGGCAGAAAGAATCTAGGAGGAAAAAGAAGATCTATAGAAGATAATCTTTTAAGTCTGAGTAATAGTTCTAAAAGATCTCCATTTACATTACCAGTCAAATTCTTCACCAAGGTCTCAAGACACTTCATAAACTAGTACTGGTTTTCTTTTCGAATCTCAGCTTTTATCACTCTCTTCCTCACTTAAAGTCTCTGACTTCCTTTGCATTCTCCTGCAGGTCAAGCTCTACACTTCCTTGAAATACTCAGACCTGTTCTTCCTTCTGTCTAGAAGATAAATTCACGCCCTTCCCTGCTTCCTCCTCTGCTTCCTCCTACTGGCCTTCTTTATGTTGATCTGCCCTATTTATACTTCAGTACAAGAACCCTGAGAATGAACTCCATAGTGCCTTCACACTCCACAGTTACACAAGGTGAATTACTATCTACACACTGCCGGTGCCTGGCCCCCAGGAGCAAGCCATTATAAATTTATTGAGCGCTTAGGAAAAGAAGCTAGAATAGAATTACACGTACAGGGGAATGACAGTTCCTTCAAGTACACAAAACAGCTGCTATCTTAGTTCTCTAGTGCTGCTGTAACAGAAATACCACAAGTGGATGGCTTTGACAAACAGTGATTTATTCTTTAGGAGCCTAGAAGCCCCAATTCAGATGGCCACCTTTAGGGGAAGGCTCTCTCTCTGCCTCTGATCCTAGGAAAATTCCAGAGCAGGGACTCAGGGTTCAAAGGATGCTCTCCACTGGCTCTTTCCTGATGGTAAGAGGCTCCCAGTGTCTCTTCTCCTTTCTCTCTCTTTTTATCTCTTGCAAGATAAAAGATGTTGCAAGCCTCACACCCAGGGAAGCTCCCCTTACATAGATCAGGGATATAATGGGACTATGGGGGTTGCATTACATTTTTAATCTTCTTGCACTTACTTGATCAGCTTCTCACATTAGATCATATCATGGGGTATCATTACATAGCTGCCATGTTATATCATTACATAACTGCTAAACCACTGAGAATCATGGCCTAGTCAAGTTAACACAAATGTTTGGGGGATATAATTCAAACCATCACAGCTAACTAATATTATACACATACAGTGTTAAAAAAAAAAAAAAAGGAAAAAGATGAAGAATTTTCCTTGTTGTCAGAGGTTAAAAAATATCACAAGGGCTTCAGGCCTAGAATTGAACTCACTCCTGTGGCCTCTAGCTAAACAATGGGCAGGCATATAGGGTGAATATTTACACTAAGTAGGTGCACTACTTAGAATAATTAACCATGGGAGATCAGAAGGGCAGAATCTGCCCAGGAAGAGATCTCAAAGGGCAGGAATACATGGAAAAGACCTCCCCTCCAAAAAAAAAAAAAAAAAACACCTCACTGCTGTAGAGTCGATTCGACTCACAGCGACCCCTCCTTGGGTTTCTGAGGCTGTATCTTTACAGAAGTAGATTGTCCAATCTTCCTTCCAAGGAGTGGTTGGTGGGTTTGAACTGCCAGCCTTCTGGTTAGCAGTCACATGCCTTAGGCACTACGACATAGGGAAACGGTAGCCACAGGGAGGAAATGAGAAGAGGGCTGTTACATTATGAGGATTGAAATCAATGTCATGAAACAAAGTGTGTGTGAACTGCCGTAGTGAAAATGAATTTGCTCTGTAAATTTTACCCAAATCAAAATTTAAAAAAATTTTAAAAAGTCAAGGGAAAAGAAAATCATTTCCCTACGGTAGTAATGACTGCAAACAAATAAATAACATAAACTGAAATAAAATGTAACAAAGTGTAAAATAAAAATAAAAG